TTTTTTGAGACAGGGTCTTTTCGAAATTTAGGCTGGCCTTGAACTCACTGTAGCCCAGCCTGGCCTGGAATTTAAAGCAATCCTTCTGACTCAACCTCCCCAGTGCTGGGATTATAGGCATGTGCCACCACACCCAGCTCCTGTTTATGTTGTTTATCTTGAGTACCCAAGCTGTGAAGAGCAAGCAGAGGTATTTTTGAACCTATTCTGCAAAGGGGTAATATATAAAGAATACTAAGCGAAAGCAAGAGAAGTTTAAGATAGATTAAAATCATATAGTAAAAGTGTATGGATGGTATTGGTCAAGAGATTTGGAGGGAAAACAGCATTTTAGAAATTGGGATGTATTTATGCATCCTTTTGGCTTCAGGGAAGCTGCCTGAACCTCTGACTTCTGTGTATAAAATTTATTGGACTCACCAATATAATTGTTGTGCACGCACACACACACACACACACACACACCCCGCCGCCCTGCCCCCCAGGATCTAACTCAGAACCTTGTGTGAGGCAGGCACATTGCCACTGAGCTAAATCCCTGGCCCTCACCAACATAATTGTGCTTTGTTGTCTCACAGAGGTTTCCCTCTCCTGTCTTAGTTATAAAATAACATTGTAGGGCCGGGGATTTAGCTCATCGGTTCAGCCACCTGTCTTGAAAGCACAAGGTCCCGAGTTCGATCCCTGGTACCAAAAAAAAATAAAATAAAATAGCATTATAATACTTTTTTTTTTGGTACTGGGGATTGAACTCGGGACCTTGTGGTTGCCAGGCAGGCAAGGGGCCAGTGAGCTAAATCCTTGGACCTGTAATACTTTTAAAATATAAATAGAGGGCTAGGGATTTAGCTCAGTGGTGCTGCCGCCTGCCTCACAAGCACAAGGTCATGAGTTCAATCCCTGGTAGCAAAAAATAATAATAAAATATAAATAGATTTCCTTATTTTAAGATAGGTCTTGTTATGATGTTCAGACTGGCCTTGAACTTCCTATGTAGCCCAGGGTGGCCTTGAACTCGTGGTAATCCTCCTGCCTCGGCCTCCCAAGTGCTGGGATTACAGGCATGCATCACTATGCTTGGCCACCAGATTTGCCTATAGAAAGCAATAAGTTGAATATGAGCTGTCCGTAAGGGTCCATGCCTATAATTCCAGCACTTGAGAGGCTGAGGCAGGAGGATTGCTCACTGGAAATCAGGTCAGGGTGTCCTCAAATTCATCGAGATCCTTCTGCCTCAGCCTTAGAATTAGGCATTACAGGTATGTATTACCATGTCCAGGTTATTTTTGGATACTATATTTTATGGTCCTCAAAGGGTGCCTGAATTGGGTGCTGGTGTTATTCCATTTTGAGAAAGAAAATAAGTACTGATTATATTAAGCAAAGCAGTGTAACCAAACTGTTGACTTGGACACACATCTCTATAAAGATCATTAATTTCATTAATGACTTATCAAACATGATTTTACCTATGGAAAGCCTCTATTAAGAAAAATTTCTTGTTTTTTTGGTGGTACTGAGAGTTGAATCCCAGGCCTTGCACATGCTTGACAAATGCTCTTCTCCTAAGCTACATCCCCAGCACAAAAGAAGACTCCATTTATTTATTTATCTATGGAGTACTGGGAATTAAACCTAGGGCCTTCCCACTGAGGTACATACCCAGCCCTTTTTAAGATTTGAGATGGTCTTGCTAAATTGTCCGAGTTGGGCTCAAACTTGCTATCTACCTCCTCAGCTGGGATTATAGGCTGGAATTACAGGTATTTGCAACCAGGCCCATGGAGCACTATTTAAATAAGCATTTTGAAGCTAATTGTTTCTTTTATTTTTTTGATTTTTTTTTTTCCTATGCAATTTAGGTATGCCTTAACTCACTATATAGCCCAGGCTGACCTGAAACTTGCAGCAATCCTGCCTCAGCCTTCCAAGTGCTAGGATTACAGGTGTGTGCCACCATGCCTAGCTCAATATTTATTCAGTCTTATAGCTGTCTTTCCACTTAGTGGATGACTGCCTTAGGCCAAGCCCTTTGTGCTGTGTGAGGCTGGTTGGCTCTTTCTTGGGAGTGTGTATTATGATAGGGGTTACATATTCTCTTAAGTCAAAAGAGCATAATAAAGATTAAGTTTGCTGGGGATGTAGTTCAGTGGTAGAACACTTGCCTAGCAAGCCACAGGTCCTGAGTTCTATTCCCAGCATTGAAAAGTTAAGGGGGAGCTGCAGAAACTTGTGACCTTATTGTTTTTTCTATAGTAAATTCTCTGTCTCTAGGTATCTTATTGATAGCCGGTGGTTCAAGCAATGGAAGAAGTACGTGGGCTTTGATAACTGGGATATGTACAATGTGGGTGAACATAACCTGTTTCCTGGGCCAATTGACAACTCTGGACTTTTTTCAGGTATAGTATGCTTTTCTAGCTAAATGTTCACCGGGGAGATGGCCTAGGCTCCTTTTTTTTTCCTTGAAACAGGGTCTTGCTTTGTAGCTGAGGCTGGTCTTGAACTCAGTAATACTCCTGACTTAGCCTCCTGAGAGCTGGGATTACAGGCATGTGCTACCACGTCTGATTAGTGTTTTATGTATCTGTAACATGGATATTGCAGACCTGTCTTTCCTGGTAGGAGGAGATAGAAACAAGTATCTCTGATCTGCATCTATGACAGAAGTCTCTAGAAATCCTTAAATTAAGTTGCCTCATTTCTTTTCTTTTTGGAGACAGGGTCTTGCTGTATAGTCCAGGGTGGCCTTGAACTCACTGTGTAACCCAAGCTGGCCCCAAATTCCTGACGGTCCTGCTTCACCCTCCTGAGTGCCAAGATTACAGGAATGCCTCACATGCCTGGCAGCATTTGTGTTTTGGGGATTAGTTTATTTTACTTTGTGTAATATTCACAATACTGATTCATAAGGTAGAATGTCAGAATCTTCTTCCTTATTTTTTGTCTGTGTGCCTCTGGTACTGGGGATTGGACTCAGAGCTGACATACTGAGCTGCATCCTTAGCCCTTTTTTGTTTTTTGGCCCCAAGTTTGAGGCCAGCCTGAACTACAAAAGGAGACCCTGTCTCAAAAAAAAAAAAAAAGGGTAGGGATGTAGCTCAGTGTGAAGGCCCTGGGTTCAATCTCCAGTACTGAAAAGAAAAAGAGATTTGTAGATTGGAAGGTTTTATTCTCTTTACTCTTTGTACTTTTGTGATTGGGGCCTGGGGTTCTAGGGTCTTTGCACTGTGCTAAGTTCCCAGCCTTGTATTTGTATTGTTATTTTGAGAGAGTATCTCTTAGTTGCTAGATTGTCAAGGATAGGCTCAAACTTTCCATCCTCCCCCTCACCTTCCAGAGTAGGCAGGATTACAGTCTTACTCCAGCACACCTGACTTTTTTCTTTCACTGATTTTTAAAAGAGATATGAGTTCCTCATAAAATGTTTAGAAAACATGGCTAAGGGCAAATACCAGTCAGTCTGCTGTGTGTTATATCAATTTATAGAATTTAGGGATTTGTATTTGTTTCTCTTAAATACTTTTGTTGTTGATGAAAAGTATGTAAAAATCAGATAAAACAAACATTTCCGGAAGAGCAGTGAATTAATGTGCTGTTTTCTTTTTCCAGATCCTAAGAGTCAGACCTTGAAAGAACACTTAATTGATGAGCTGGACTATGTGTTAGTCCCAACTGAGGCCTGGAACAAATTACTGAATTGGTATGGCTGTGTAGAAGGCCAGCAGCCCATTGTCAGGAAAGTGAGTATGTGAATGGCCACATTTGCTGGTCCGTATCTGCATGTGCTCCCAGGGGGGCACTTGGCTTGTGTTGGTTTCCTAGGAAAATGAATATGTTTAAGAGGTTGAGTGGAGGTGGCTGAGCCCTTGTTTGTGGCTCTCTTAGGGAATGTTGGTTGTACATGGTGGTGAGGCTGCTCACTGAGGGTGTTAGAGTGACTGGCCTCTGGTGCTACCCGCTGGTTTGGGATGCACCCAGCAGTGTTGTGCGAGTACTTTCTTGAAGGCTCTGAGGACCATGTGGACATATAGTTATGTACGTTTTTCCCCCCAAACAATTTAGTTTAAGACCCCCCTCAACCCCCCACCCCCACCCCCACCCCCGCCCAGTACTTGGAATTGAAGCCAGGAAGCATTGAGCTATATCCCCAACCTTTTTATTTTGAGACAGGGTCTTGCTGAGTTGCCCAGACTGGCCACAAACTTGCAGTCCTGTTGCTTCAACTTTGTCTCATTATTTGGGATTACAACTGTGGGCCACCACATCTCACTCCCTTCTTGTTTATCTTAAAATATTTCTAGAGCTGAGGATGGAGCTTATTGCTGGAGAGCTTGCCTAGCACATGTGAGACCCTGGACTGGATCTCTTAACACTGCAGACTCTACCGTGCCCACCCTAACTGCCTTTCTGATAGTTTCTCCTCTGAGTCTAAAAGGCTTTAGTCATATGGTCAAGTCATTTACAAAACCTCTTTGGGAAGGTAGGCTCTGGGACAGATTGTTAGCAGTTCTAGTAGTCAGGACTCACGAGGCGACCACCATATTGTCTCCCCTAGTTGTTTGGTTGTCCTACCAGAAGAAAATCACCAGAGCCCATGTGTCTGCTGATACTTTGGCACTAGGTAAATTTCTCACTCTGCTGGTATATGTTCTCCATCTTGTCAGAGGAGAGAGCTGCAGTCCTAAGACTGTTTCTGTGAGTCATTATTCAAGCCAGAGCTATCTTTTTCTCCAGCTGAGCCCAAAATGGTTAGGGATCAAAAAGTTAGAAGTATATTAACCTTTTACATATGTCCTCCCACATCTAGGATGCTGCCACATGAGCTCGTTCCCAAGGGCTGTGCCTGTATTCTTAATCCTCTGATTAGACAGATCCTTCAAGAGAGGCATCATGGTCTTGCGTTAGAGGTGAACAGTGACTTTTTTTTTTTTTTTTTTGAGACAGGGTCTTGCTTTGCAGTTCAGGCTATCCTTGAGTTCAATGTGTAGCCCAGGTTGGCCTCCAGCTCACAGCGATCCTCCTGCCTCAGCCTCCTGAGGGCTGGTATTATAGGCGTGGGCTGCCATGCCGAACCGAGGCCTCTGTATCTGGCTTTTTAGGCAAGCATGGCTATGAATTAATGGGTTAAGGGTTTTTGTTTGTTTGTTTCTCTTTTTTTGGTGCTGGGGATTGAACCTGGGGCCTTACACATGTCACCCAAGTGCTTTACCACTGAGCTACACCCCTGGCCCACAAATTCTTTCATATAGTTAGGCATATACTTTCAGGAGGAGTTAGACCTTACCTTTGCCAAGTTTGTTTTGTTTTTTGTTTTCAGACAGGGTCTCACTATGTAGTTCCAAATGGCCTTGAACTAACTACGTAGCTCAGGCTAGCCTCCAAGTGCTAGGATTAGAGGCATGTGCCACTAGGCCCAGCTAGAAAAGATTTTTAATATTCTGGAAGAGATGGACGATAGCTTTAAAAATCTGTACTTTAAAATAAAATCTGTACTTCTGATCCCTTGGTGACTAAAAGAAACTGATGATTATGAGTTTTCTGCTGTTTGCTGCTACTGGTACATGTTGCTTCCAAGACTGCCTGGGTGTGGAAACACTGCTCCTTTACCCTGCCTCTTGTTTACAGGTTGTGGAGCATGGCCTTTTTGTCAAGCACTGCAAAGTGGAGGTGTATTTGCTGGAACTGAAGCTCTGTGAAAACAGTGACCCCACCAATGTGCTGAGTTGCCATTTCAGCAAAGCAGACACCATTGGTGAGCAAGCAAGCTGGGGTCCTGGGTGTGTCATGAGAGACTGTAGGGCAGTGTGGTTTATGGAAGGAAAGCCGTGCACTCTGCAGACTTGTTACCCAGAGCCTGTTCCCCAGGAGATTCTTGTGGAGAGACATGTCCAGGAATCATGTTCTGTAGAATACTGAGTGTAATCCTTGCCCTTTTGTCATACAACAGTAAGAAAGGTAGAGTTAGAGAAGTTAAAAAGTAACTTACTAAAAAATCCTAGCAAGAGGCTGAAGATGTTGCTTAGTAGCAGTAGTATGTGCAGTGCTCTGGATTTGATTCCTAGCACACACAACCAGAATTATCACCACAACAGTCTCAACAGGAAAGTGCCAGTTCACTACCTCCCACCCCCCTCACACACACCATGGGGATTGAATCCAGGCCTTTCTCACCAAGCTACATCCTAGCCATTTTTTTTTTTTTGGTACTGGGAATCGAACTCGGGACCTTTGCGCTGAGGCAGGTGCCAGAACCACTGAGCTAAATCCCTGGGCCCCTAGCCATTTTTTAATTTAGAAGCAGGGTCTATAGCTGGGTGTGGTGGCACACACCTATAATCCTAGCATTCTGTGAGGCTAAGGCAGAAGAATTGACAAGTTTTGAGGTCCACTTGATGAACTTAGTGAGACTCTGTCTCAAAGTAAAAAAATAAAAAAGTCTGGGCATGTAGCTTATTGCCATAAAGGGAGAAGGAGGGACAGAGAGAAAGAAACAGACAAATAGACATGGTCTTGCTAAATTGGGCAGGCTGGGCTCAAAATTGAAATTCTCCTACCTCGGCTTCCAAAGCACTGAGGTTATAGGCATGTACCACCACGCCCAGCTCAGATAAAGCTTCAAAAACTAGCTCTGAATCCAGGCATTGTGGCACACACCTACAATCCCAGCACCCTTGGAGGCAACAGTGAGTTCAAGGCCAACCTGGGCTATAAACCAAGACCCTATGTTAGGAAAAAAAAAGAACACATCTGTTTTAACTCCAAAGAGAATTTTTCTCACTTTTTTTCTTTTCTCAATGCTGGGGATTGAACCCAGGGCCTCATCCATGCTAGGCAAGTGCTCACCTCTGAGCTACATCCCCAGCCTTGCTTTCTTGCTTTCTGTGTTTCTCTGCTCTAAGACCTACATTATCAGAGAAGGCGTAAAGACATTTTCCCATCATAATAAGGGGGTCTGTCAGAACTTTCATTCCAAAGTATCTGAAAAGGGAGAAGGAAGGTACAGGTTTGCTTTGACTGTCTTTGTCTTTGTATCAAGAAATCCCTAAAAAAAAAAAATAAATAAATAAATAAAAAAGAAAGAAAGAAATCCCTGAGTGATGTTTCTACCTCTCCCTAGCAACCATTGAGAAGGAAATGCGGAAGCTTTTTAACATCCCTGTGGAGCGTGAAACACGGCTCTGGAATAAATACATGAGCAATACCTATGAGCAGTTGAGCAAGCTGGACAACACTATCCAAGATGCTGGGCTGTACCAAGGCCAGGTAGGAGGGCTGAGGCCATGCCCAAGCAAGCAGCTCTGCCCAGGGCACGTGGCCAAAAACCATTGGCTGTAGCATGTTAGAAGTGTGTTGGATGGCAATCTCCTGATCTGGTTTCCCCTTTTAGGTGCTAGTAATTGAGCCCCAAAATGAAGATGGCACATGGCCCAGGCAAACCGTGCAGTCAAAGTAAGTGATCCTTTTCTCCCGTGTGGCTGGGCTCACAGATCTTGTAGAGACACTCTTTCCTCAGGTGGTTAAGAAAAATTGTTGTGGGGGCTGGGGATTTAGCTCAGAGGTTTCGCAGCTTGCTGTGCAAGCGCAAGGACCTGAGTTCAATCCCCAGTACCAAAAAAAAAAAAAAAAGAAAAATTGTTGTGAATCAAATGGAAAACTCATGGGCCGGGGATTTAGCTCAGTGGTTTCACTGCTTGCTGCACAAGTGCAAGGACCTAAGTTCGATCCCCGGTACCAAAAAAGTAAAAATGGAAAACTCATTGTTTCATATCCAGAATGAAGAGTTAAGATGAAGCCCCCAGCCTTTGGTAAACAGCATGTGGGGCGAGAGGAAGAGGAAGAGAGGGGCCCAGGGTCTGACCCTGCTGCTCTGCCAGGAGGTGGCTGTGTTTTGTCAAACTCTTTTCTTTCCTTACCTTATAGTCAGAGGCTTTGTAGGAAAAAGAAGATGACTGAGGCATGGGGTTTTGCATTACTTAAAGGTGTTAGTTTCATTCCACTCTACTCTACCCACTTGCCTGTTATTCATTGTTACCTTTGGAGCTTGGCTAAGGAATTGTTCAGCTACAGACATAGCTGTTTTAGAGATAATCATGTGATACATGGAATTGTGCATATCTTCAGAAGGGGAGAGAAACAATTGATGAATTTTCCTCTTTTTGAAAGATGGGAAAGTCCTGTCTGCTTCAGTCTTTATGGAGAGATTGGTGAGCTCTGCTCTCTTCTTTCAGTTACATGTGATTAGTCTCATAGCTTATTTCAAAACTGAAACCAGGAGCCCTCTCTTGAGAAACATGCATGAAGACAAAAAACATTGGTGAACAGTTTTAAGGAGTTTCACAGACCCCTTGAACCCCAGTTGTGGACTCCAGTTGTAAGAAACCATGAGTGCTGTTTCCTGATAAGATGACAGAAATACTTGTGGAAGACAGAATGGTGCCTCCTGTCTCCACAAGAGATGTCCACGTCTTAATATCCAGAACCTGTGAATGTGTGAGCATACAGATGAACATCACAGATGTGATTAAATTAATAACCTGAGATGGGAAGATGATCCAAGTGGGCCCAGTGTGGTCACACTGGTCCTTGTGAATGAAACAGAGGCTGGAAAGTCGGAGGTTGTATGAGGAGAGAAGCAAAGTCAAGAGTGAGGAAATGTGAGCCAGGGAAGTGAAAATGGGCAGCCTCTAGCAGTTCTGCACCCTCCAAGAAGGGATGCAATTGGTCATTTGGCCAGCACCTTGATTTTAGCTCAGAGAAGCATTTTGGACTTTGGACTTCAGGAACTGCAACATAATAAATTTGTTGTTTTAAGCCACTGAGTTTGTGACAGTGATAGGAAAGTAATACACAAAACCAGGCACCTCCTCTCTTGGAACTGGAAATACCATAAAACTGAGGGACAGTAACCTGAAAACTGAGAACCCACTGGAGTGACAAGATTTGATTGCAGCATATGAGGTAGGCCTGGTAGCTCAAAGCAAAAGGGGGCTAGGTATCATGGCCAGGGAGTTACACCTTATTTTATTCCTAGCCTTGCTTCTATGTCTCCCATACCAGGAGGCCTAAGAGATTCAGTTAAAAGAGACAGATTTTGGAAAAGAGCAGTGCCTTATTATGGGTCTCTAACCCTGAAGGTCAGAGTCATGTGGTCAAGTAGGGAATGAGTTCAAAGTGGAATTCCCGGGGTACATTCCCCTCCCCATTCCCCAGGGTAGTTCAGATACTGTTGCAGATGGTGAGGATATAGCAGTAAACAGCACAAAGTATGCACAATATCCTCAAGGAAGACAGTAAGATAAATAAGAAAAACACTTGTCCACAGGTTTATAAACCCTGAATAAAAGTCAGGAAAGAGAATGAGTGAGCCCTGGGCTTTTGGATGGGGAGATTTAACCAGGATGAAGGGTCGGCCCCTTTAAGGGTCCTGTGCACATTTCTATGGAATAGGGAAGGAGCATTTGTGAGTGTAGGACAGAAGTCCTGCTGCAGAAGTAGGGCTGATTGAAGACCAGCAGGAGTTTGTTGTGCTGAGCTGGAGAGGGTAATAGGAAGGTGGAAGATGAGGTGTAGAAGGCAAGGAGGTAGCAGGTCCTGGGAATTTGAGAGATAGGTTCTAGCTTTGCCTCCAGGAAGGGGAGGAACCTGTTGGATAGTGTATACAGTGACACTGAGGTGCAGTATGATCTGTGGTGACTCCCAGGGAGTCAGAACCAGAGATTGACAAGGATAGTCAGGATAAATGGAAAATTACAAAGTTGCTGGCAGCATAAGAAATAAGCATAACGAATATTGTTAAAGAAATGAACAGGAACAAGTATATGTATTTGGAAAGAGAATTCAGAGCATGGGTTGAACAGCAGAGTGGTTGTAACTGAAGACTCAACAGTTTGGAAGTTCAGGTTAAAAAATTCTAGAAGGCATTATGAAGGGATAGAGGGGAAATGAGGCCCGGGGATTTAGCTCAGTGGTTTTGCTGCCTGCTGGTCAAGCGCAAGGACCTGAATTCAATCCCTGGTACCAAAAAAAAAACCAAGGGGAAATGATAGATGTGTGCTATGGAGGGTATTAGTATTTCTATATTAATGTATGTGTAAGATTATTTCTGAATTGCCCAGCGTGATGGTGCACACCTGCAATCCCAGCACTCAGGAGACTGAGGCAGGAGGATTGTAACAAGTTCGAGACCAGCCTGGGCTACATAGTGAGTTCAAAACTAGCCTGAACTACATAGTCTGATCCTGTTTCAAAAAACCAAAAAAAAAAAGAAGAAGAAAGAGTGAGTTTTTGTATATTAATGTATATCCATGTGAGAGTGTCTTATATCAGTATCCATATAATAGGGATCTTAGAAGCAGAGAAAAATGACAGAGGGAAAGATAAAAATATTAGAAGAAAAGCTCACCAAGTTTCTCAAAAGTTGTAAAGATAAAAGACATCAAAAAAGAAAAAGAAAAAAAATGCCAAACATCACCTAAAAGAAAGGCCTATATTTGCATAGTAGAATGAAATTAATAACAAAGATGGAGAGAAAACTCCAAGTCATTTTGAAAGAAAAAGTCATTTATGCTAGTGCTTGATTTTGTTTGTTTTGTTTTTTGTTTTGGTACCAGGGATTGAACTCTGGTCCTTTCGCTTGCCAGGCAGGTGACTGAACCACTGAGCTAAATCCCTGGCCCTTTGTTTGTTTGTTTTGATAATGTTCTCCCTCAGTTGCCCAGGCTGGGTTGGAACTTGCAGTCCTCCAGCTTCACCCACCAAGAGTGTTGGGATTACAGGCATGTGCCACCATGCCCAGCTAATACCAAGCTTCTCAGCAGTAGGGATCTAAGAAATTCTTTTTTTCAGATTCAGAATTTTTTTTTTTGGAGACAGGCTTGAACTTGTTTTGTAGCCTTAGGTAGACTAAACAACTATCCTTCTGCCTCAGCCTCCTGAGTGCTGGGATTACAGGCATGCATCAACATGCCTGGTTTGTTTGTTTGTTATTTGTGGTACTAGGAATTGAACCCAGGGCCTTTACACTAAGCTACATTCCAAGCAGCTCTTGTATATTTTTTTATTTTGAGACAGGGTCTTACTAGGTTGCCCATCCTGGGCTCAAACCTGTGATCTTCCTGCCTCAGTCTCCTGAGTACTTTGATTATAGCTCTGCATCAACATGCTTCACTGACTTCATAACTTTTTAACCCACCAATAAATTGATAAAGTAGGTAGCAGTTTAAGATATGGGACGATTAGCCCACAGATTAATCTGTGAAAAATATTGAAACATGAATCTGAAACAGTGAGATTGCTTGCATGCACCAGTTATGAAGCAGTATAATTTGGTGGTGGTGGTGGGGTACCGGGGATCGAATTCAGGACCTTGCACTTGCCAGGCAGGCAGGCAGCAGCACCATTGAGCTAGATCCCTAGCCCTAAGCAATATAATTCTTGAAAGGCATTGTAAAACTAAATTGTCATTTTCCTGTTCTAGTGTCCTAGCCAGCTATTTTATTTATTTATTTTTGTTTTTAACTCTTTGAGGTAGGAACTCACTGTGTATGTGTAGTTCAGGCTAACCTTGCACTCACTACTTGTATGTAGCCCAGGCTGGCCTTGAACTTGAAGGAATCCTGCCTCAGCCTCCCAAGTGCTAGGACCACACCTATCTATAAGTACCTATTTAATTTGTGTCAGATATTTTTGGGGAAAGTCATCTCTTTTTGCCATTTTTCTATGACTTTTGTGTGTAACTCCTAAAATACAGAGAAGCCAAACAAAACAAACCCAGGAGCTTATGGTATATAAATAAAACCAGAAAAGTTCATCTTGGGGTTTATTACAATGGAACATTTAGTGTGTGATCTTGTGAACTAATGAGACAGGAAGACTAGTTAATTTGTTTTGGTTTGGGTTTTTTTGGTTGTTTTAGTTTTTTTTTTTTTTTTTTTGGTACCGGGGATTGAACTCAGGTCCTTGCGCTTGCACAGCAGGCGACGAAACCACTGAGCTAAATCCCCGGCCTGGTTTTTTTAAGACTCATTTTTGTTTGCTTTTTATTTTTTGGTACCGGGGATTGAACTCTGGACCTTGCGCTCGAACCACTGAGCTAAATCCTCGGCCTTTAAGACTCATTTTTGAGGCAAGATACCTTGACTCTCAATACAATTTTGAAGTATTAATACAAAAGGATTTTTACAGTTTATTTTAAATGACTGCAGAGAAAGTTTTTTTTTTTTCTTTCTGAGACAGGGTCTTGCTTTGTAGTTCAGGCAGGCCTTGAACCAACTTTGTAGCCCAGGCTACCCTCAAACTTGAGACAGTCCTCTTGCCTCAGCCTCGGGAGTGCTGGGATCACAGGCGTGTACCACCATCCCTGGCTCAGAGAATGTTATTTCTTGAGATGAGACCTAAGGCATTAAATAGGGCTTGCACTTTCCAAAAAGTCAGCAGCATTGTTTCTACTTTTTTCTCCCAGATCAAGCACTGCACCTAGCAGAAATTTTACTACCTCTCCAAAATCATCAGCAAGTCCTTATTCCTCAATGTCCGCCTCTCCCGTTGCAAATGGTGATAGCACTAACACCTCTGGGGTGCACAGTTCCAGTGTCAGCAGGGGGTAAGAAGCACTCACACTCTGCATCCTTGATCTCTGGGTCTTTTTCTTTTTCTTTTTTTTTTTGGTACTGGGGATTGAACTCGGAACCTTGTGCTTATGAGGCAGGCAGCGGCACCACTCTGTCTGAGTCTTTTCTAAGGCTGTGTCTGGATTGCTTATCTGCTGCTTCGTCAAACATGGGATCAGAGCACCCCACGGGAGTGTGCTGCATGTGGTTTCTCTGCTAATTCCAACCTAATTCTACTTGTCCTGCGAGCTGGTGTTTTCCCACAGCCTGTATCATGGGGGCTGGATCTGGGGGTGTCACTGCAGTTGTTGGTGAAGGGATGGGCTGGCCACATGCCAGAGCAGCTGCATGGGGAGGGTCCTTAGCTCTGCAAACGCTCTGTGTTTCCCTTCTGGTTGCCCATAACCCTTTCTCCAGGAGTTTCCATAGCACCTGCCACATGGCATAGACAGGTAGAAGCTGAGTGTGAGTTGAGAGACTGTACATGAATGCTCAGGTCCAGCCAAGGCCAGGTGTGGCCTGGTAGATGGTGGTAGATGCAAACTCTTGATCTTGGTAACCTAAATGTTCTTCTCTGAAGTCATCTCCAGTCAACCTTCTAGAAGGATATAAAACTAGCTCTTACCAAAGCCCAGAAGAGGAAAATTCAAATAATACTTCTCACCTTAAGGATGTGCTTACCAACTGCTAACGTGTCACATCAAGAGGAGGAGCAGGTCTGAAGGACCGCAGAGGAAAGAGGAGAGAATTTCCATTAGGGGGATCTACTCCCAGACATGAGTTGTAGAGGCCCAAGCAGTGCCCCCCAAAAGTATCTGAGGGCGTGTATGCAGCATTTGCTGTTTTTGCTGACATGAGTTGTGTTTTTCAGTGGATCTGGCTTCTCTGCTTCGTATAATTGTCAGGAGCCGCCATCTTCTCATATCCAGCCTGGGCTCTGTGGACTTGGAAACCTGGGGAATACCTGCTTCATGAACTCTGCTCTGCAGGTACAGGGAGAGCCACTGTCTGAATATGTGTATCCTGAGTCTTCAGTAAGAGTGGTCTGGGCTCCCTCCTTTTAGTGCTTTAGTAGTCTGAAAGGGCATCTCTCACTGGTTTGGTTAAGAACGGCTTCCTCAGTACCTGTGGCCACAACATGTATTTTTTTTGTTGTTGTTGTTAGCAGGGATCAAACTTGGTTCATTGCACTTGCGCAGCAGGCATCGAAACCACTGAGTTAAATCCCTGGTCCCACAACATGTATTCTTAACCAGTTCTGTGTTTGGGTTACAGTAAAAAACAAACAAACAAAAAAACCTTTCCCAGTATTGGAGATTGAATTGAGGGCCTCAGGGATTTTAGGCAAATGCTCTATTATTCAGCTTACCCTGCCCCCCTTTTTAAATCATTTTCTTTTTAGACAGGGTCTCACTAAATTGCCCAAGTGGCCTTGAACTTGCAGTCCTCTTGCCTCAGCTTCTCCAGTAGCTGGAATTAGCAGTAGTAGAAACACTTTGGGGCCAGGGATTTAGCTCAATGTTGCCACCACCTGCCCTGCAAGCACAAGGTCCTGAGTTTGATCCCCAGTACCAACAAAAAAATTTTAAATTTTGTTGACTGTTGGGGTATGATCTCCCTAGAAAGTATTGGAAAACATACCTTTCTCCTTGATCGTTGGGAGGATGAGGACTCAGAACACCTGGGCCATGCTCAGCTATACTGCCCTGAAGGATGACCCCTTTTTCATCAGTCAGTTACCTCACCTCATAACCCTTACTGGAGAAATCCTAAAATCTTTGTTTGAAACCTCACTTGTACATTCATCAAATAATTTGTTGGGCACAGACTGTTCAGTAGCTCTGTTACAGTCATGGGCCACAAGCAGTTAGGGTCAAACTGCAGTCAGGAATGCATAGTCCCCAGGACTGCCCTCAGCTCTGAAGCCAGCTTCAATTTTGGGAGTTCCTAAGGCGACATTCAGTTTTGATGATTTGTTAGCAGGATTCATGTAAAGCTGTTATGCTCATGATATAATGGTCTGTTATAGGGGTAGGATACAGATTAAAATCAGCCAAGGGAGGAAGCAAATCAACCACGTCCAGAAGGGTCCAGACATGGAGCTTGTATTTCTCTCTGTGGACACCTTGCCTTCATGGCACTGTGTGTAGCAGTAGCACAGAGTACACTGTCTTTGTGGAAGTGCACCTGAGCTGCAGTGTGCATGTGTGCACAGTTTTTCTTTTTATTTGAGGTGGGGTCTGGCTGTTTGGTCCATTTTAGGCTTTGAACTCTCTGTGTAGCCCAACTGTCTTTGAATTTTCTTTTCTTTTTTTTTTTGGCACTGGGGATTGAACTCGGGTCCTTGCCGCTTGGGCAGCAGGCAGCGAAACCACTGAGCTAAATCCCTGGCCTTTTCTTTTTCTTTTGATGTACTGAGGATTGAATCCAGGGCTATTGCACTCAGCTACATCCCCAGACCTTTTTACTTTTTATTCTGAGATAGGATCTCACTAAGTTGCCTGGGTGGGGCTTGGACTTGTGATCCTCCTGCAGGAGTCCTCTACCTCACTTGGTTCAAACATGATTCTTTTTTCCCCCCAGTCCTAGGGATTAAGCCAAGTGTCATCACATCTTACACTACATCCTTACCCTTCTTTATTTATTATTTTATTTATTTTCTCTCTTTCTCTTTTTTTGGTATTGGGGATCGAACTCAGGACCTTGTGCTTGCAAGGCAGGCACAGCGCCACTGAGCTAAATTCCTGGCCCTCTCTCTCTCTCTCTTTTTTTGAGACAGTCTCACTGTGTAGTTCAGGAGGGCCTTGAACTTAACTGTGTAGCCCTGGCTGGCCTCAAACTCATGGCAGCTCTCTTGCCTCAGCCTCCTGAGTGCTGGAATTACAGGCATGCACCACAATACCCAGCTTTCTGTTTTCATTTTGAGAAAGGGTCTCATTAAGTCTCTAAGTTGCATAGCCTGGGCTCCAGTTTGTAATCTTCCTGCCTCAGAGTGCTAGAATTGTAGGTTTGTACTATTACACATAGCTTTAAACATAATTCTGGCTGGGGATTTAGCTCTGGTTCTGCCGCCTGCCTCACAAGTGCAAGGTCCTGAGTTTGATCCCTGGTACCCCAAAAAAAGGAATTCTGTGGAATAAAACCTAATAACCTCCTAGGAAGACTCATAAGGGAGAAATGCAAATGACTAATGGTAGGAATGAAGAAAGAAACCACAATAGATTTTATAGACATTTAAAAAGATTATTGGAGGATAGTAAAACTCTGTGTTATTGGACTGTTGGACAGTTAAAATGGACAAGTTGCCTTGAGAAGCACAACTTACTGACCTTAAGAAACAGAAAATCTGAATTTCTTTCTTTTTTTTTTTTTTTGGTATCGGGGATTGAACTTGGGACCTTGCATTTGCAAGGCAGGCACTGGAACCACTGAGCTAAATCCCGGCCCCATGTCTGATGTATCTTTTTTTTCATGTGTGATATTTTTTATGCCTTCTGTTCTAATTATCCTGATGTTTTCCTCATAATTTTTTGGTTGTGGTAAAGTATTTTGTCTTTGGCTTAGTTATATTTTGTCTTCCCATGAAATATTGGCATTTCCTAGTCCCTTCCATTAAAAAAAAATTACCTTGGGCCGGGGATTTAGCTCAGTGGTTCTGGTACCTGCTGGGCAAGCGCAAGGACCCAAGTTCGATCCCTGGTACCAAAACAAACAAAACAAAACAAAAACGATAATATTTTTAATGTAAGTTGTTATGTTGGATCTTGAAAAGATTTTTTATGTTGTGCCTATGTTTCCTACATATATATGGTATAATAACAACAAATATTATTTTCTTGGCATTTACAAAGGATTTAAATGTGTACTGCCTCATTTACCTTTATAGCTACTATGAAATACATAGGTTAGGTGTTATCATTTTTATTCACATGAGAAACTGAGTCTCATAGAGGTGAAATTCAAAAATCACATAATTTGTGGTAAGATTAGAACATATATGTTGTGATTTAAATCTCTCAGATTTTACAGTTAAGGCTACCTAAATTTTATTTTATTTTTATTTATTTATTTATTTATTTTGGTACCGGGGATCGATCTTGGGTCCTTGTGCTTGCGCAGCAGGCGCCAAAACCACTGAGCTAAATCCCCGGCCCTAAATTGTCTTTTTACTTTCAACTTTATATTAGTATCATTGATTCATACATCATTTAAAATTTTGTTGAGGTACTGACATAGGTTAAAAAGCATACATTTATATGGGCCGAGGATTTAGCTCAGTGGTTTCACTGCCTGCCTCGCAAGCGCAACATCCCAAATTCAATCCCCAATACCAAAAAAACCCAAAAACAAACAGAATTAGAAAAAAATGTACATTTATAGACTTCAAGATGTTTAATGTAGTGAAAAGTGATAGTTAATAAGCCAAAAGTTTCAATACTCTATTACATGTTGTGAGTTTTTGCCACAGGTTGGCACCTTGTTTAGTTTAATTCTTCTATCCATCTCATACCCCAGTGTGAAATTTAAATAAATAACTCATTTCTCCAATTCAGGTATGGCATTGAACACAGATAACACAGAAATTTCAGACTCATGCAAAATACTGTTTTGTCTAGTGGTAACAATAAAGATTAAGAAATAATTTCACACATTGAGAAAGCTTGATGAATTTCTAATTCAGTGTGTATTATTTTGTTTAAAGTTATAAGTTTACAGAATAGTAGGCAGTCATGTTTTATTTAATGTACCATAATATTCCAACCCCAACTCCCCCCCCCCCCCCAAATCAGCTTTTGCCTTCATGTTGCCGGTTGGAAAGACAGCATCTCAGGCAGTGCTTAGTTCCTCCAAGACCGTGTCCCTGAGTCAACCCTGCACTAGGCCCTCAGGTTGGTCTCTGGAGGCTGAGCTTTTCTGCTGGGAGCTTTTTTTTTCAGGGGGAGCCTCAGCAGCCTTTTAGAACCTGATTTATTTTGTTTCCCCATTTGCTTGCTGGTGGGTTTCTGTTTCAGTGCCTGAGCAACACTGCACCACTGACTGACTACTTTCTCAAAGATGAGTATGAGGCCGAAATCAACAGAGACAACCCTCTGGGCATGAAAGGAGAGATTGCAGAGGCCTACGCAGAGCTCATCAAGCAGATGTGGTCTGGAAGGGACACTCATGTGGCCCCTCGCATGTTCAAAGTAGGTTGAGATAAGTATTTCCTTTTTCTCCTTTTAGGGAGAGTAGTTTCATTTTGTAATGAGCATTCCTTTATTTGCATTTTAGGATTAAGAGAGATCTGAGTCAAAAAGTACCACATTTTTATACCCTTCTTTCTTGTCAGTTGTTTAACACACAGTTGTTTTAAGTGTCCCCTATGCTCATCTCTGGGTAGAGATGTCCCAGAAGCCCTTTGTAAGATGGTTGCTCAGAATTCTGCATTTTGTGGTAACTATATATAAATTATATAACTGGCGGGGAGGGGTGTTGTTTTTTGTTTCTTTGCTTGGTTTTTTGAGACATGATCTTGCTATGTAGTTCCGGCTGGCCTTGAACTCATTATGTAGTCCAGGCTGGCTTTAAACTCATGGCGATCCTCCTACTTCAGCCTACTGAGTGCTGGATTACAGGTGTCTGCCACCACCCAGCTTGTTAACAATATTTAAATGGTCCTAAAAATGTATTTTACCTTTCAGGATAATACAAAGTCTACTCCCAGGTTCTCTGAGCCTGGACCCTATCCTTAAGGTTTGAGTTAGGCCCCTCTAAGTCAGATATTGAATTGACATTCTCAGAAAATGACATAGGAAACAGTTCTCACTCAAATCCTTCAACTAGGGAGACTTGGGGAGGGTATGGATGAATTTCAGCCGTCCTTGGAGCAACTTGGGCTTTCCATTGCCCAAAAATGTTTCTTCTTGCCTGGAGCACAGTACCTTGTTCCCATACGCTGAAATCTGAGGAAATCCTATTTCTCCTGCACTAAAGGAGGCTCTGTGAGTCTTCAGGAGGCACATGATGAAAAAGATTTGCATGGTTTTGATTCTGGGAAGGAAAAAGGAAATACCACCAAAGCTCAATGAGAAAATTAAAATCTCAGTGGAGTGTTGAAATTGAAAATGAATTCTTGTTCATCCCCTTGATGACATGAATTTCTGGGAAATACAAGTAAATAAGTTATACTTACATGCTAAGTCATAAAGAAACTAGAGTTGTGAGACCACACCTGGGCTCAAGTTAACAGAGCAGCACTGACCAGCTTGTTATCTAGGAACATGAAGGTTATTTGGCAGAAGTCTCTTGCTGATACAGACAGCATTTCTAAAGTTCTATGAACAAAAGGATATTGGAGGATTTGTATCACTTCATGTGTGTGGCTACCTAGAGTACCGCCCCTGCCCTGTTGGGGTCCTGGCCAGGGTTCTGGTCCCTCCCTGTCCTGGCTCTCAGAGCCTCCCTTCTGGGAGCACCATTGGCTCTATTAGGTTCTCCAGGGTATAACTGGGCTCCTCACCCTCTTTCCTGCATGTCCCGGCTGACTCTGCAGAGCTATTTTTGATGACACTGCCCCTTTGACTTCACTGGTTTGTTGTATGTTACACCTTCTGATGTAGTTGCTTTTGTTGTAGACCCAAGTGGGACGCTTTGCCCCTCAGTTTTCTGGCTACCAGCAGCAGGACTCTCAGGAGCTGTTAGCCTTTATTCTAGATGGATTGCATGAAGACCTGAATCGGGTCAAGAAGAAGCCCTACTTGCTGCCGAAGGATGCCAACGGGCGGCCAGATGCGGTATGTTGTGGAAACTGTTTGAACTTGTGGAGGATGTCTTCTGGGCCTTGGGGATTAGTGCCAGGATACTGGCTGCCTCTCAATGGGACAGGGTGTTGATTCTGGTAGAGAAATGCATTCCAGTTGAGAAAAGGGCTAGTTATGGCTGGGCGTGGTGACACATGCCTGTAATCAGAGCAATCAGGAGGATGAGGCAGGAGGATTGCCATGAGTTCAAGGCCAGCCTGAACTGACAGGCAAAAAAACCAAAAACCAGAAAGGGGCTAGTTACTCATTTCTGGGGTTTTGTTTGTTTGTTTGTTTTTGGGTTCTTGAAACAGGGTCTTGCTATGTAGTTCAGCTTCACCTTGAACTCATAGTGACCATCCTGAGTGCTGGGATTACAGGCCTGCACCACCATACACAGCTACCCCACTGGACTTCTTGAATTAGTCGGTTTGTTTAGTATTTTGTTGACAAATGAGAGACTAGTGTACCCTGAAAACTGTAAGAGACCTATAGTGTGGATTATTAATGCTCTCATTAAAATCTCTGATTATCAAGCATACTTTGTTATTAATATTAACTTAGTGCATTTATACTTTTGCCTTGATTTTCTGATCTATAGAAAGGGATTTTTATTACTTCACTACCCTGTGACATTGAAATAATCAATATGAATGCTTTAAAGTTCCACTTAGATCTTAAAGGAAAAGCCATAAGTGAGCCAAACTATTTGTATAGATTTGGTGAGCTCTCACCAAAGAGCCAGTGTGATGGTGCACATCTATAATTCTAGCTTTTTTTTTTTTTTTTTTGTGGTACCGGGGATCGAACTCGGGTCCTTTTGCTAGCGCAGCAGGCGGCGAAACCACTGAGCTAAATCCCCGACCCTAATTCTAGCTTTTTAGGAGGCTGAGAAAGAAGGCTTACATGTGAGAGGACAGCCTGAGCAACTTAGCAAGACCTTTTCTCAAAATAAAAAGGTCTAAGGGCCGAGGATGTAGCTTAGTGGCACCACGCCTGCCTGGCAAGCACAAGGTCCTGAGTTCGATTCCTGGTGATAGATAGATAGGTCTAGGAGTGTGCTCAGTGGTAGAGCATTTGTCTAGCATGTATGAGGGCCTGGGCTCAATCCTAATACCACAAAAGAAAAACCAAAAGTGCCTCACCAAAAGGACTTTTATTTTATTTTTTGGTTGTTTTGAAACAGGGTCTTGCTATGTAGTTCAAGCTTGCCTTGAAGTCACTATGGAGCCCATCCTGGCCTTGAACTTGTGGCAGTCCTCCTGTCTCCACCTCCCAAATGCTGAGATTACAGGCATGTGCCACCATGCCTGGCTCAAAGGGACTTTAAATCTTGGAGCCTAGTAACCACAGTGCTCTCACCATCCCTTGTTTTCCATAATGTCCCCTGTTGGCACATTGTAAAGTAAGATCTGTGCTCTCACACTGGATGCCAAGATCAGCCCCAGTCCTGCCTGACCTGAACAGACTACCTCCCTATCCATCTCAGCATGTACTGGGAATCATTCTATATGGGAGAGGACTGAGAATGTCCTCTTTTTCCTTCTTCTTTGGTCCAGGTGGTAGCAAAGGAAGCCTGGGAGAATCACCGGTTGCGGAATGATTCTGTGATTGTGGACACTTTCCATGGCCTCTTCAAATCTACATTAGTTTGCCCAGAATGTGCTAAGGTTTCTGTCACCTTTGACCCATTTTGCTACCTAACACTCCCACTGCCCTTGAAAAAGGATCGCGTCATGGAGGTCTTCCTGGTTCCCGCTGACCCTCACTGTAGACCTACCCAGGTAAGAAGATCCACACCCTCACAATGCCCCTCAGTGCGAGTGTCCCCTCTGTGGTGGGACAAGGACACTCCCATCAGCTGCCTCTGTCCCTTTAGGCTTGTCTGTGTGTGTCTTTGGGCTCCATCAGACCTTTGTGTAATCACATATCACTCAGACCGTTGGAAACATCTTTGGGGCTTGTTTTTCTCTTTTTTACCCATGCTTCATTTGCGCAATTGTAGTAACCTGGGTGATTTGTTAAGTAGTCCATGGCTCTGAATGTTGGAGAACCCAGAGCTAGGTACTTAGGTTCATCCTTAAATCAGCTATGACCATGGCCACAAGAGTTGGGTAAGAGGCACAACCAGCTCATCTTACTGTCCAGGTTTGCTGACAGCTCCCAGTGTGATTTATCACTTAGTCTTCTGATGTTACTGTCTTTATCTCTAAAGAAAAATGATATATCGAACCAGATGGCTATTTTATTTTATTTTTATTTATTTATTTTTTTGGTACTGGGGATCTAACTCATGACCTTACGCTTGCGAGATAGGCACACTGCCACTGAGCTAAATCCCTGGCCCTTTTTTTTTTTCATATACCAGGCATCAAACTCAGGACCTTGCACTTGGAAGGCAGGTGCTGGCATATATTTTTTTTTAATAGAGGTCCTGAGGATTCAACCCAGGACCTCTGTCCTCAGGCCTTTTTTATTTTTTTACTTTGAAACAGGTTACTGCTACATCACTATGTTGTCTGGGCTGGGCTTGAACATTTGATCCTCCTATTTCAACCTCCCCGAGTGCTGGAATTACAAACTTGTTTCACCATGCCCAGCTGGCAGTTTCTGTCATTTCAACGGTTCTTTTTTTGTTTTTGGTACCAGGGATCAAACTCGGGTCCTGCTTGTGAGGCAGGTGATGGAACCACTGAGCTAAATCCCCAGCCCCAATATTCATATATTATTTTTTTTTTATTATTATTTATTATTTTTTTGGTACCGGGGATTGAACTTGGGTCCTTGCACTTGCGCAGCAGGCAGTGAAACCACTGAGCTAAATCCCCAGTCCATTTCATCGGTTCTTTACATGAAGTAGTGAACTATTCCAAAAAGTGAAGAATAAAATGGTGCAGGTTGATGGTGTGGCTCAGTGGCAGAGTGCCTAACATGCATGAGGCCCTGAGTTTGATCCTCAGGAGCTGCCAAAGTAAAGAAACCAATGTTTGAGAGAGAAAGAGATGACACAGGTCCCACACTGGTGCCTGAGTCTTATGGCAGTGCTGATATGAAAGACTTACTATCTATGCTGCAACTAACTCCTCTGGGCTCCATTTTTACTCTGTGAACTGTGTCAGAAGGACCCCCAGCCCCCAGTGGTGCCTGCTCTTCTTGGTCATTTCCTTCCTCTTTGGAGCACCCCTATCATCTTGACCATCTCCCTTGCAGTACCGTGTGACTGTGCCACTGATGGGGGCTGTATCTGACCTGTGTGAAGCTCTCTCCAGGCTGTCTGGCATTGCTGCAGAAACCGTAAGCCAGGGGGATCAGTGGCATTTAGATTGTTGGGGGTTTGCTTTCAATCTTGTAGCCACATTTTTTTTTTTTGGTACCGGGGATTGAACTCCAGTCCTTGGACTTTCGAGGCAGGCAGCGGAACCACTGAGCTAAATCCTCAGCCCTAAAATGTGTTTGTATTTTTGGTACTGGGGATCGAACTCAGGACCTTGTTCTCGCAAAGCAGACGGCAGAACCACTGAGCTAAATCCCTGACCCATACCCACATTTTTGAGGGTAGTATTGCCCAGCACAGATATGATTATTGGTGAGTGTCTGGGTGCCTCACACTTGGCCCTCCCTCACTGTGCACCCTATAGCTGAGGCTGTCCCTTACAGCTCCAGAAAAAGCCATCTTTCTTCCATTGGGGTCACACTACTCATATCAGAGGGGCAGAAGTAGAACTCTGCCCTCTCCTGTGCTGGAGGTTGCAGGCAGACTGTGGGCATTGCACAGTCCTCCAAGGCCTCTGGATGATGACTGGTCTCTGGTCAGTACTCATCAGTCGTCATTTCTGCTACTCAGGGCCAGAGGTTACCAGCATGGTCAGTGCTAGTAGGAGCCCTGCCGCTCCCCTCAACCTTGGCCCTGAGTCCTTGGGCTGGCTGCAGAGTGGACTCTGAAGGTAGCATCCAGCAGAGCATTTTCCTATTTGTTTCTGGACTGCCTGTCAGCAGCTTAGAAAGGGCACTCTGAGCCATGCTCTAATTTTCTTCTAACTGTTAATTCCCAGATGGTGGTCACAGATGTGTATAATCACCGGTTCCACAAAATTTTCCAAATGGATGAAGGTTTAAGCCACATCATGCCTCGTGATGACATTTTTGTGTGAGTACTGTTGTGCTGGGTCAGGGAACACTAAATGTTCCAGCCTGTAGCCTGTGGGTTGGACAGCCTGGCTCACCTGGGTCACAGTGAGTGGAGAGAAACTGTCTTGAGCTGCGTATAGAATAGATAATAAAGTTAATGTATGTAAGTAACAAAACTTCCCTTATTTTTTAATCTTATATTATAACATTTTAAAAAGGCAATGCCGGACACGGTGGCACACTCCTGTAATCCTAGAACTCAAGAGGCTGAGGCAGGAGGATCACTGAGTTCAAGGCCAGCCTGAACTACGTAGCAAGGCCCTGTCTCAAAACAAAACAAAACCACAGGCAGGGGATTTAGCTCAGTGGATCCATCACCTGCCTCTCAAGCACAAGTACCCGAGTTCAACCCCTGGTACAAAAAACAAAACAAAACACAAAACCAAAAAAAGGCCAAGCAGCCTGCAGGACATGCCTCTTGTAGAGCCTGTGCCTTATTTTTGTCTCCAGAGTAGAAACTGTCTGAGCTGCTTTTTGTCATTGCTGAGACAAAATACCTGACATCCACAAATTAAGGGAGGAAAGGTTTATTTTAACTCACAGTTGGTAGAGGTTTCAGTTCATAGTTGGCTGGTTCCAAGGCAAGGTAGCATGGCAGAGAAGAAATAGTTCATGGCAGGCAGAAGATAGCAAAGCACTGAGCAGAAGCACAATCCCTTTTGTCCTTTCCAGGCTACCCACATTTTTGGTGGTGCCACCCACATCCAGGGTGGGCCTTTCCATTATTCACACCCAAAACTATGCCAAACCAGTCAGTGGACTAATTTAGTAATCACACACCCTTAATCTCAGCATCAGCACTGTAGATCCAGCCACTTCTGAAAAGCCCCATCTCTATTGGTTCTCTGCTTTTGGCTAAGATCAAGTGAAAAGCCCCATCTATGACCACATGAGGCTTTGGGGGAATATCTAGACAGAAGCCATAACAGAAGCCGTGGTCAGTGAATTTGTCCAAATGCCCAGCTGCAGGAGGTGGGTGCTGAGGGGATTGTGGGCAGCCATTGGCTAAGCATCTGCACTACAGATCTGACTCCAGCAGCTTTCCTCAGCACCAAGAGTCTTGAGTCAGCAGTCATTATTTAAGAGTGTCGGCTCTGGTCCTGCAGATGGCCCTGTTGTCAGAGGTAGCTTGCTGAGGAAGAGCCACAGCTCTATGGGAAGATAGAAGGGCCGTGGCACAGGAGAACCCTGGTCTTTCTCTGCTACAAGCTGTGCTCCTCAGGCAAGTGCCAGGATACCACAATCTGTACCTCAACAATGAACAGCTATTGGCAGCTCTGAGATTCCATTTTCTCATGCCCGTGGAGGCAATGCCTTGTCTTTAACCCACCTAAATATGCTGTTTCCTGGCTGTGCTGGGTTGCTGGGTGTGTTTCCCTCTCCCAGGTGCAATGGGGAAGGATGGGGATTTACCTGAGCCTCACAGCCTTCCCACTTGCTCAGGGAACCTTGGCTGTGGACCATGCCTCTCTCTCTCTCTCTCTCTCTCTCTCTACTTCTTGCCTGGAAATTATCTCTGCTGAGAAAGGATTTTAAGATTTTATTTTGGCTGAGAAATGTCAAACACAAAAGTGACTGCTACTTCTTGATAGATTTTTGGGCCCAGACATCTACATCATGGGAAGAGGAATAGTTGTCAGCCACACAGTCTCCTGGTTGTGCTTGCATTTGTATGTGCTGCCTCCCTGTTGACAGAGGATTTTACTCTTATGACAAATGGTACCATATCAGTCGGTGTGGTGACACAGGTCTGTAATCCCAGCACTCGGGAGGCTGAGGCAGGAGGATTGCCTTGAGTTTGAGGCCAGCCTGGACCTACATAGTGAGTTTAAGGCCAGCTTGAACTATATAGCAAGACCCTGTCTCATAAAATTAAAAAAAAACAAAACAGATGAACAGTGCCAGGATGTGTGCTGTGCCACAAGGCTTGGCATGGTAAGGTCAGCTATCAGCTACTTCTGCCCCTAAATCCTTAACACAGCCTCTCAGCTTTGAAAACCAGTGTTAGCATGTGCTGAGAGAAATGGATCATCTTCTTTTGGGAGCTTGGCACTTACCAACAAAGGATTATTTAGAGCTTAGTGGTCAACTGTCAGAAAACAGATTCTTTAAAAAGATAAATTGAGGCTGGCAATTTAGCTCAGTGGTTTCGCTGCCTGCCTTGTAAGCACAAGGACCCGAGTTCAATCCCCGGTACCAAAAAAAAAAAAGACCTAAAAAGATAAATTGATCGGGGCCGGGGATTTAGCTCAGTGGTTCCGCCGCCTGCCTCAAAAGTGCAAGGTCCCAAGTTTGATCCCCAGTCGGGCCCCCCCAAAAAGATAAATTGATCTCGGCAAACCTGCAGTCCCACCTCTTGAGAGGCTGGGACAGGAAGATTGCTGCAAGTTTAAGCCCAGTCTGAACTATACATATAGTAAGACTCTTGGCTATATAATGAGTTCAGGGTCAGACTGAACTATATGTTGAGACCTTGTCTCAAAAAGCAACAAAAAACCCACCAAAAAAACCCCTTGATCTTATGAAAACAATAATAACATCTAATTTTTTTTTGGTACTGTGGTTCAAACTTGGGTCCTGCACTTGCACAGCAGGCAAAACCACTGAGCTAAATCCCCGCCCCATAACATCTAATTTTTTAGGATATGTGCACTGTGTTACTGTTGCTTAATTCCAGTTGAGTGTAGTAGTGCACACCTGTAATTCTAGCACTTTGAGAGGAGGCAAGATCTGGTTATGTTACCAAAAAAAAAAGATCTGGGGATGTAGCTCAGTGTGTAAGTCCTGGGTTCAATCCCAAGTATTGGGGAAAAACATCTCAAACCCTATAAAGTGAGTAATCACATGGTCCACTGAGTAAGTGGTCAGAAGCATGGTTTATTGCAGCCATAACATGGGACAGTGAACTGGAACCTGGGCCTGCCTTACTCAGGGCGCAGCGCTTAACCATTATGAACTACAGGTTCTTAGGCTTTAGTGAGGGCACACTATGGATACTTTTGTGAGTCATTCCTAGAAATCTGCATAAACCTAGTCAAGACTGTATGCCAGTCACTTAGGAAAGGGGATGTATGTGTATGCAGTTGTAGTTTTCAGAAAATTGAATTTACTAATTCAATTAGTAAATACTTAACTAGTTTGTGTCTGCCCCTATAGGAAGAGGCAGGAACTACAGTGGATGCCGGCAATTTTGATAACATTTGTCCCAGAATAATACATCTCTCTAAATCTCAATCCTATGTATTCACTCTGTAAGATACAATTTCTAAAACCATTGATTTATACTTAGCATCATCTGTGGTTATCTCTGACTTTAAAAAAAATTATGATTCTTTTACTTAAATGTTTTTGAACGAAAATGACCGACAGATGGTTTTATAAATGTCCCTGTTTGGGCCAGGGATTTAGCTCAGTGGCACCACACCTGCCTGCCAAGCCCAAGGTCCTGAGTTTTATTCCTTGTACCAAAAAAAATTGCCCTGTGTACATGCTTATATAGTATCTGGTTTTATTAAAGGTCAGGGAACCAAGAATGCACTTTCAAAAGTTAAGTTCTTGGGACGGGAGATTATCTCAGTGGCGCCTTGCCTGCCTCGCAAGCACAAGGCCCTGAGTTCAATCCCTGGTACTGGAGAAAAAAAAAAAAAAAAGTTGAGCTCTGCAAACTGGAATATAGATACTAGGAAATAGGAAGAACTTGTTCAAATGGGAAGAGGAATAAGAGATGGAGGGAGGGGAGAAGGAAGGGAAAAGTAATTTAAAGAAAAAAATAATTGAAGGAAAAAAATAAAATGAGGTTTTGTAAAGAGGGGGGAAAGGGTTGAAGGGAGGGGAGAGAAAGGGGACAAAAATAAAAAATTTAAAAAAAGGTTAAGTTTCTGAAGCAAGGTGTGCTGGTGCATGCCTGTAATCTTAGCACATAGGAGACTGAGGGAGGATCACTAAAAGTTCTGTGCTAGCATGGGGTACATAGCAGCTTCAAGGCCAGCCCGAACTACCTAGCAAGACCTTTTCTAAAAAACAAAACCAAACTAGGGCCGGGGATTTAGCTCAGTGGTTCCGGCGCCTGCCTTGCAAGTGCAAGGTCCCAAGTTCGATCCCTGGTACCAAAAAAAAAACAAAAACCCAAACCATTGAGTACTTTGGTGACAAAAAATGAACTTGGTGGCCAGGACTTGGGATGGTCCAGGTGACAGCAGTTATCTGCTCAAGTGAAGCCCCACAGAGTTGGAGGCAGTGATGAAGGAGCTTCACAGTTAATCCTGGCTTAGGTCGTGTAGGTTCACATTGTGCTAATAATGATTGTCTACCACATTCCTGACTCAGCCTCTGGAATTGCCTCAGAAATGGCTTGTCCACCTCTTCTGCCAAGATATGTTCTGTCCTAATAACTGTAGTCCTGGTTGCCCTCCAGGTGCATCTCAGGTCTCTTTGTTCCTAGGAACCAGCTGCTAAAGGACTCCCCTTCTATGATTGCAGGTACGAGGTGTGCAGCACCTCCTCGGATGGCTCAGAGTGTGTCATGCTTCCAGTCTACTTCAGGGAAAGAAAGTCCAAGCCAGCAGGCACTTCTTCTGGGGCGGTGCTATATGGGCAGCCACTGCTGGTGTCCATCCCCAAGCACAAGCTGACCCTGGAGTCTTTGTACCAGGCTGTGTGTGATCGCATCAGGTTGGTGGCAGGAACGCAGTTGGGTTGTTATATAAGATAGAGAACCTCAGGGGTCCAGGTACTACGGTGCATACAGTCTGGGAGTCTGAGGCAGGAGGACCACAAGTCTGACGCAGCCCAGGCAACTCAGTGAGACAATTATCTCAAAATCAGAAATAATAAAAGGGCTGGGGATGTAGCTCAGTGTGAAGTCCCTGGGTTCAGCCCTCAGTACCAAAAAAAAAAAAAGATAAGCTCAACAGTAATAGTGACAATCCCTCCAGAGAGTGTGTGTGGACCCCAGGTGCTCACCCTTTCGGCAGATAAGCCAGGCTCCAAAAGGTGCATCTCACATGCTCTCCCTGCTTTGTGAAATCTGAGAGATCACATGAAAGTATAAAGGAGACTATCATTAGATAAGAGGAAGGGAACAAGGAGAAGGGAAGGGGGAGATGTAAAGGCAGGTAATGAAGGAAAGCTGTGTCATTAAGAGATCATGATGTTGACATTAATTTATTGAGGTAGAAAGCTATCTACATTAAGTGAAACATTACAAAACAATATATGTGGGATTGCCAGTATTTTATTTTTTAAAATGCATTTATGCACCGCTCCTTCCTTGAAAGGGCAAGGTCCTGAGTTTGATCCCCAGTACCAAAAAAAAAAAATGGATTTATGTATAGCAATACCAAGAAATTATTTAAACTGGGAGTGGTAGCGCATGCCTGTAAATCCTAGCACCAGTCTGGGAGGCTGAAGCAGGAGGACCATAGCTCTAGCTTGGGCAACTTAGTGACTTAGTGAAGTAGTGAGATCCTGTCTCTTCCAAATATATATATATATATATATATATATTTTTTTTTTTTTTTTTTTTTTTTTAAAGATCTAAATATATATAATTTTAAAGAAGGGCTGTAGATGTAGTTCAATACCAATGTCCTGTGTTTCCTTCCCAGAACTAGGGGAAAAAATCTGGACTGTTATTCACGTAACCCTTTATTTCTCTGGGAGTGAAATCCAGAGCACGTTCTTTTTATTATAAGAATATTTTTTTAGGGCCAGGGATTTAGCTCAGTGGTTCCACTGCCTGCCTCACAAGCACAAGGTCCCGAGTTCGATCCCTGGTACCAAAAAAAAAGAATATTTTTTGACCTTGCTTGGTGGCGTTCTCCTGTAATCCCAGCACTCTGGGTTCTCAAGCAGGAAGATTGCCTGAGTTTGAGTCCAGTCTGGGCTACATAGTGAGTTCAAGGCCAACCTGAACTGCATACCGAGACTCTGTCTCAAAAAAAAGGTAATTTTTCACTTGTGCTATTATAAAATGTTTCTTAAAATAGGAAATTAAGAATTGCTGTAAGTATATGAAGTGATGGCTATGTTAGCTTGGTTGTTGGAATCATTTCACAACTTTTTTATTTATACCATATAAATATCAGAACATTATGTTGTACCCCTTAAATATATATAATTTTGTCAAAATTAAAATTAATTAATTAAATAAAAATTTAAAATGCAGCTGTGCTGAGCCCTGGGTGGCCAGGGCAGGTGTCACTAGGATGGCTGTCTGACCCATCTTAGGTGTCCTGGCCCTGTGCACCAGACCTCTCCTCAGTCCCCTGTGTTCAGAAGCCCAGTACTTTGAATTCTATCTCTGGAGTCAGGTGCAGTGGCACTTGGAAGGCTGAGGCAGGAATATGGCACGTTCAACATCAGCCTGGGCAGCTTAGTGAGACCCTGTCTTAAAACATAAAAAGGGCTGGAGATGTCATTCAGTGCAAGGCTGTGGTTCAATCCCCTGTACTAGGCAGGTGGGAGGACAACAGCTGTCTCTGAGGTATCTCCCTATAGTTCTGATGCTAATGATTAGTATTACTAGAAAATAAGGAGTTTCTTTTGTTTTCAGTGCTGGTGATTGAACCCATGCTAGGGGGGTGGTCTTACTGAACTACGTCCCAGTTCTCTTTAACAGTTTCATTTATTTATGTATATGTGTATGTCCATCTGGTACTGGAGGATTAACCCAGGGCCTTCCTACTGTACTGCAACTCTAGCCCTTTTTAAACACTTTTATTTTGAGACAGGCTGGGCTCAAACTAACAACCCTCTTTCCTCAGCTTCCCAGAGTGCTAAGATTTTTGTTTGTTTGTTTTTTTAGTATTGAGGATCTGGTCTGGATAGGGTCCTTGCGCTTGCGCAGCAGGTGGCAAAACCACTGAGCTAAATCCCCAGCCCTCTTAGAGTGCTGAGATTATAGACATGCACCACTATGCCTCATTTAAAAATTTTATTTTAAGCCGATTGTGGTGGCACACACCTGTAATCCTTGCAGTCCGGGAGGCTGAGGCAAGAGGATCACCGTGAGTTCAAGGCCAGCCTGAACTACATAGCATGACAATGTCTCACGAAAAAAAAAAAAAAAATTTTATTTTGAGACAAGCTCTCACTAAATTTCCCAGATTGTTCACTAGCGCTTGATCCTCCTGCTTTGGATTCCTTTGTAGCTGGGATCACAGGTGTACCCCCATGCACAGCAGCTGGGAGCACTTTAGAAATGATTGTGCCACATAGCATTCATAGAAGACTTGAAGCAGTCCTTTCCTGGGGTTTTCATTGGCTTGATAGGTTCAACATCTGATCTCAGGTTCCTGTCAATATCTTAAAAGTATTGAACCATTACGTGATTGTAAAGTGCTTTCGTGTACATAAATTTGCTTTGTGATAGGTGAATGTAAAAATTATGAACTACTTAGTAGCTGCATAGTGGAGAAAAACCGTAAAAATGTTAAAACTAACAGTCCTTTCTTTGATTTTTTGTAAGCCGCTATATAAAGCAACCTTTGCCTGACGAGTTTTGCAGCTTGCCCTTGGAGCCTGGGGCCTGCAGTGGCTCCAGGGGCAGCTGTGAAGGTGAGTGCTGGCCATGCTGTGGGGGTGGGATGAACCACAGTGCACCTGAGACACCTGGGAGAGGGAGGCTGGGGGCTCTGCCTGCAGGAGCAGCTCTCTGTGCTGCCGGCCCCCAGCCTGCTCATGTAGGTTGGGTCTAACCCAGGCACACTGAGCCAGAAGGGGTTGAATGACTTGCCTGAGGTCAGGAAGCAGAGTCAGAATTTGAATGCTCATCTGTCAGGATTGAGAAGTGGGTGGTTGCCTGCCATATGACTGCCTCTGTCACCTGACTTCTGGTAAAGCTGTTATTATCTTGGCCCTAAAGTGCTTGACCCAGCCTGTTTGGTGAGGCTTCCATCCTTAGGGAGGACAGAATCCTGGCCATTCAGCCAGAAGGTAGAGACAGGCTTTCTTGGGCTTTCCCTATAGCTCGCCAGGAAGCTGCAGGTGGTAGCTGATCCAAGGCTTTTCATGCTGTGAAAGGGAAGGAAGTTGTAATCAGAAAAGCAGTATAGGCCCAGGGGCTTACTTCAGTCGTTCCATTGCCTGCCTCACAAGCCCAAGCAAGGTCTTGAGTTTGATCCCTGGTACCCCCCTCCAAAAGAAAAACCCAGTATAGTGAACTTGTCATAGGGAACCCAGAGGCTTTACTCTCCACTGTGGCTGGGTGCTAACAAGTCCATATCTGACCAAGAGCCATGACTAATCTGCAGTACACTTACTACTCTTCTTTTGGAAATTTAGGTGACTCCATAGCTTTATTACTATAAAACCAAAAGTGAAGCTGGGTGTGGTGGTGCAGGCCTCTAATGCCAGCACTATAGGAGGCTAAAGCAGAAGAATCACAAATTTGAGCCCAGCCTGTTAAGTGACTTAGTGAAACCATGTCTGAAAATACAAAATTAATAAAAGAGCCAGGTATGGTGGTGCACACCTGTATTCCCAGCACTCGGGAGGCTAAGACAAAAGGAGTGCCATGAGTTTGAGGCCAGCCTGGGCTACATAATGAGCTCAAGGCCAGCCTGAACTACATAGCGAGAGCCTCTCTCAAAAAAAAAA